TATCTATCTATCTATCTATCTATCTATCTATCTATCTATCTATCTATCTATCTATCTATCTATCTATCTAATAGGAGTTGCAGCAGCATCCTTTGAATGTATCACCAAACACCACAGGAGGATTTGCTGTTGCTAAGGCACACATTGTGATTGACCTATGTTATTATTACTACGAAACGTCTGAATTATCTGACGTGACCTGCATAAATCAGGAATCTGGTAGCATCTTTTCAAGCTACCAAATTTTATTAAAAAGGCTAAACTTTTGTGAGCATGAAAGCTTCGCATTTTAATAAAATGTAATACTATCAGATTTCTCCTGGTTTTTGGATATTATAGTTTAATATGACTCTCCTCCTACAAGGTCCACACAAGCTGGTAAGACTTTTTATTCATGGATAGCCTTTATGAAACTATTGGGATTCTGAGCCATGGTGGTGCAGTAGTAAGAGTGCAGTACTGCAAGCTACTTCTGCTGCCTGCCGGCTGCCTGCAATTTGACAGTTCGAATCTCACCAGGCTCAAGGTTGGCTCAGCCTTCCATCCTTCCGAGATTGGTAAAATGAGGACTCAAATTTTGGGGGGCAGTGGGCTGACTCTAAACCGCTTAGAGACGGATGTAAAGCACTGTGAAGCGGTATATAAGTCGAAGTGCTATTGCTATTATATTCTTCTGAAGTACAAATGTAGTGTAGCACATTTAACAAAGATTCTTTTCCGATTTTCTTTGCAATTGCAAGTAGAAGATGCTGTACTCGCAGCCATGCCAAATGATTTTATGATCGCTGTCCCTAACAAATAAGCAAGCAATTCTCTTAATTTGAAGCCCCATTAGACACAATGGGGAAAAAAGATAGGCGTAGGGAAAAGCCACATATCCCTAAATGGGAAACACTCGAAAAACAATATGAAAAAAAAAAATAGTTTCCTGCAAGGTTTGCCATAAAGATCATAGCCATCTCATCTTAATTGAAACCGGACAGTTTTTGCATTGGCTGTGTTATGGTGACAGGGAAGCTCCAGGACCCGAAAGTTCTAAAATGAAATCCCCAGAAGAAGAAAAAAAAAAATGAGGGCCCATTTTAACCGGATGCAATAATATTTCAAGACACAGAAGCAATAAAAACAGCAGCATTTCTGTTATGATAATTAGAAGATAGGAACAGATCTGGGACCGTTCTGCAGGTGCTGGAGGAGGAACGGGGAAGGGAGAGGAAGGGGGAAATGACAGCTCATTATGAGGCTGGTAGGCAATACAGGATAATGGAAGGGAACCAGGTGGGATACGCTGGGAAGGTTTACATAATCGAAAAGCAGGAGAAAAACAAAGGTTTATGTGTAAAGTTTTTAAACAAATTTAATCAAGTGGGCTGGGGGACAACTCATCAATTCTAGTGAAGGCAGCTTCCTGGTTCTCCTTTTTCCATTCTTTTTGGAATTAACTTAATTTCTTTAATTAACTTAATGTTAAATTCTAACTCAAGAGCAGGTGTGAGACGCAGATAAAAAGATACTTTAAATGAGTACAGGTAAGTTCCCCACTTGCAGCCAGAGTTGAGCCCAACATTTTTGTTGCTAAGCAACGCAGTTAAGTGAGTTTTGCCCCCGGTTTACGACCTATCTTGCCACAGCTGTTAAGTGAATCACTGCATGGTGCTAAGTCAGTAACACAGCTGTTAAAGTGAATTTGGCTTCCCCACTGTCTTTGATTGTCAGAAAGTTGCAAAAGTGGATCCCGCGACCCTGGGAACACAGCAATCGTCATATAAATATGAATCAGATGCCAAACACCTGAATTTTAATCACATGACCATGGAGATAGTACCACAGTGATGTGAAAAATAGTCACAAATTAAGAATGAGCTGCAGTGGTGCAGTGGTTAGAGTGCACTACTGCAGGCTACTTCTGTTGACTGCCAGCTGCTTGCAATTTGGCAGTTTGAATCTCACCAGGCTTAAGGTTGACTCACCCTTCTATCCTTCTGAGGTGGGTAAAATGAGGACCCAGATTGTTGGGGGCAAGAGGCTGACTCTGTAAACTGCTTAGAGAGGGCTGGAAAGCACTGTGAAGTGGTATATAAGTCTGCTATTGCTTGGGAAGGAAGGAAGGAAGGAAGGCATAGTGGCAGAGTGGTTAGAATGCAGTGTTTCAAGGTAATTCTGCCCACTGCCAGGAGTTCAATGCCAGGAGTTTGGTGCCACACCAAAATGGTGTCAAATGGTGTCATCTGTGATGTGGTCGAGAAGGGAGATGCCCAATATCCAACGGAGCATTCACATTTCCATGGCATGGAGATGGTGTTCGGTCCCTGTTGTTGCTGCCCAGCATTCGGTGCCATACAGTGCAACAGGGCAGATGGTTGCCTCGTAAATCTTAAGATTTAAGACAGGTTGGCATTTGCCTGTCACATTAGCTGCTAAAATGTTTTAAGAAACCATCATTAGCTGCTAAAATGTTTTAAGAAAAAGGCAGATGAGCATTGAGTCTTCTGACTCAAATCAGATCAGGTCTTTATTACGGAGATAGATCAGCCTTCTGAGTCATCCCAAAGTCTGTCCAGCAGCACAAGACCATGAAGAGTGCAGCCTACATAATACCCAAACCTCAGACGGACAAGCAAAAGGCTCGGCTATTTTTAGACACAGCACCTTGGTTGCAAGGCTATTTTTAGTGGCAGGGACCGCCCAGTTCAAATCCTTCAAAGCTGCCAGTTGGCAAACTGGCAAAGATCCAGAAGTAGTGCAGGCCAAGATATAGGTTTCCCCCCCTCCCAACTCTTAGGGAGGGGGCCGATATTCTTCATCTTTGTTGTCCAGCCAGAAGAATCCTCCTTCAAATTATCATCACTCCTTCTTATCCTTGGAATACCAAATTCTGGACATACATATATCAAAGACAAACAACAGTGCAATCCGTCCTCAGGTTATTACACCAGAGAGACAAGGGCTGAACTGCTCTTAAACCAACCTGTCATCCAGGACAAGTGGAATTATAGACTACTTCTAACTCTGCACCTCCGTGGAGCACGATTGGCCAGAACTGGTAGCACAGTCAGAATCCTTGCCAGGTAGGCTGTTGTAGACTTACAACAGTTCATTTAATGACCATCTGAAGTTACAACGACACTGAAAAAAAGGGACTTACAACCGTTTTTCACACTTATGACTGTTGCAGCATCCCCAGGGTCACATGGTCCAAATTCAAACCCTTGGCAACTCACTCATATTTATGACAATTGGAAAGTAATGTTTACATCTCAAGACTTCCGGAGATATTAAACTAGTGTTATGCAGTGTCAACATACCGTTATACAGAGAAGAGAACATACAGTATATAAACTCATTATCAACCAGGTTGACCTTAAGGGGGAGATGTGATAGTTATGAGTGGAGTCTGGACTCCCCTCTCAAAATACAGAGCTGATGGGGGAATTCTGGGTGTTGAATTCTAGTACTTTTTGAGCAGTGGTTTTTAAACTAGAAATAATTACCCCCAAAGGATAATATTTTTTTTTGGGGGGGGGGGGTAACTAAATGACATTATTTGAGACCACAAGGGTTCATTGGGTCAATCGTTTATAAACTCCTGTTCTGGAAGAATCGCAACGAAATCGCGGCGGCACCTCCTGAGGCATGCAGCGGGTAGCGCTTAACGGTTGAGCATTCGGCACTGCCACCCTTTTGGCATTATTGCCACCATTTATAGGCGGCGATGGAGAGCTGCCAATTGGGCTGGCGGTCACTGGTCGGCTTAAACTTGTTTTGGTCACTTCAGGCACTTTGGTTTTTTTGATCTGTGACCTTCTGAGTAGATTCCTTTTTTTTCTTATCCTCTTTTTTTTTCTTTTCTTGTCTTCCATTAATTGTTCTTCCTTTTCTCCTTCTCTCTTGGAACTGCCTTCTTCCAAAATTTCTCCCTCATCGGTGTGAATGGGAATAGAATCTGTGGAAAATTCTGCTGAAATATGAAATTCTTGACAGCTTCTTAGGGCTATTAAAGCCCAGTAGGACCTGTCCCGCTACATTCAGTGCAAAAGTCAAATTATTGCATTAAAATCCCGTTGAAGTCCTTAGGAAGCTTGCAGCAATTAAAAAAATATATCAAATGTTTTCATTCTGCTTCTAAGATACTTCCATCATCATTTGTCTCAGAATGCCTTTTACTGAATGAGGATGCAGGATCGCTGGGAGCCAGCATGCTTAATAACAAAATACGCTTTGCTGTGGTCAAGATCAAAGAAAAAAGTTACTGGGGATTAGCGTTGGAGTTTATGCAGAAAGCGCTTCAAAGTGAATATTCTTTCTGTTATAAACACTAACTTTCACTAGTGCCTTAGGAAATTATGACTAATCAGGGGGAAGAGATTATGATAACAAAACATGACAATGTCTTTGCTGTTCTGATAATTAAGTTGTCATAGTGTGTGTTATTGGTGCTACTGGTGATTTGCACTGCTATGCCAAACAGTGCTCTATTAGTCTCACCTCATTTTAAAGAGATCGTGACCATCTTCAATCATCCAG